GTTCTCTCAAAAGCTGAGAAGCCCATTTCCAGAATTTTTGATTTTGTCAAGAGCAAAGGTGAAGGCAAGATCTTCCTTCTCTACGGACCTCCTGAAACAGGCAAGACATTAACGGCCGAATGCATGGCTGACGATACACGCCGCCCTCTGCCAAGCCTCAGCGTGAATGATGTCATATCTAATCTTGGAGACACCGAGAACAAGCTGCAAACTTGGTTCTCGCTTGCTGCAAAATGGCATGCTGTCCTTCTCGTCAACAAGGCGGATATATTCTTGGAGCAACCATGAGAAGGCGATGTGACCAGAAATCGGCTTTCTACTGCTTTCTTAAGGACCATGGAACACGCCCAAAATGTTCTCTTTCTCACTACAAAGCGGCATAGTCATATTGACGACTCTTTCATCTCAAGAATCACAAGCCAAATCCAATGCCAAGAACTTTCCAAGGAAACAAAGGCGACGATCATATCGAGATTGGTGCTGACATTCGTAGATAAAAGCCCTATCTAATTCGAGCAGGTGGCGAAGAGTTATTTAATAGAGCACTGTGGGCCGCTTAATGGAAGTCAGATACGAAAAGTGCTCCAGGAAGCCGTTGAAGCTACAGAAGTACAATGTCGAAGGGACCGGAAGTTTGAGGCCGAAACCAACCTAGCCCTCCAGAATGCAATGATGCTGATGGTAAAACGCAATCACATCAAAGTTGGGCTAGAAAGACTGGCACAATTTCGGTCCTACCGTGATGAGCTTAGAAGTAGGTCCGAGGCGCTTTGAGCTAAAAATAAGGAAGACAGACTATTTAGCAACTCCATCGGCCGCGAAGTAAATCTAGGTAGAGATGGAAAAGTTTCAGAGGAATACTTGATGAGACTGAATTGAGGAGACTCTGGGTTATGAGCCACTTTCAAAGCTGCCGGGGGATGCTTCTCAAGTTTTCACATTTCACCTCGCCTAATCAAAAGATACAGCCTTCTTAAACATTCAGGCCAGTGATTGCATAAATACGAAGAACCTGGCTAGAAATTAACTCTTATATCTGACAATTCGTATTAAAAGATAATACAGTAGTGCTTAATGTGTTCGTCGTATGCTTGATTTCGATCCTCAATATGATCGCAGCTGTAGCAGTACTAGAAGCACAACACGCCATAACAGCAAGGATAGTTGCCACAATAGTTACAGAAGACGTTTAATTAGACCATCGAATTTACAATGCGTGGTTACAAGGTGCTAATTTGCCTAACCTACGCCGATTGAGATCATGGTATAGAAATTATATATTTAACTTAGCTGTAATAGTTACTACCGGCTGCAGCCAGGTAAGATATAAGGGATCTTAGTCGTGGAGGAGTAAATCTACAGTGCGGGGAAGGGAGCTCGTCAGCCACCCCGTGCCGGGCCACATACAAAAGAAGGAGGTAACGCTCCGAGGCGGGAGCATCTCCATTATCTGCGAAATCTCAGCGCACATCCCGTCAGTGAAGCCCTAGAGCCATCATATGCTGGCACAATATCTCTCTTCTCACTTTTTGCCAACTATGTTGCCTTTCGCCCCTCTAGGTTTTGCGATCGTAGGTATTGCTGCCGCTGCTACCACTGGCACAGATCCGGTGTTTGAGCCAGCCAATTTTGACGCGAGAACTGCACTCGGTCAGAGAGGTATCGACATCACTCAGTACCTGGATCTCAATGTTTTGCGTGATGGCTCCGACGCCTTTTGCGACATTTCCGTAAGAAAGGCCAAGTTACAATGTGAAGGAGAATGCTAACCTACAGCTCTCTCGGGAAGTGTAACATACTCAATCGAGTCTACGGTGGCGATGCAGTCTTCCTAAGAGGCACTAGCGAGTATATAAATTTCACACACGGATACTGGTCGGCACGTCAAAGTGACGTTAGTCCTTCCTGCATCTTCATCCCGGCAGCAGCATTTGATGTTTCCACATTTGTCCTGCTCTCCCGTGTCACGCGATGTCCATTCGCAGCCAAGAGTGGAGGCCACGCGACCTTCGCAGGAGCTTCAAGCATAGAGAGTGGAATTACCATTTCCCTGGCGAAATTAAAGGGTATTCGACTTTCCCCTGACAAAAGGATTGCCTCGGTTGGGGCCGGAAACCTTTGGGGCGACGTGTACCGGGAACTCGCCAAATCCGACGTGAGTGTCATAGGGGGCCGGCTGTACGATATCGGCGTCGGCGGCCTAACAACTGGGGGTACGATCTTTGCGTTTATCACCCCGCTGGACAACCAGTTATGGCTAACACAATTCAGGCGGCATCTCGTACTTTTCGGCTCAGTACGGGTGGGCATGTGATAATGTAGAGAGCTATGATGTGAGACTGCTGAAGCTATGAATAACTCGGCCTACTGACATATAGTAGGTTGTTACCGCGTCCGGTGTTATACTTCAAGCTAGCGCTAGTCAACATCCCGATCTTTACTGGGCGCTGCGTGGTGGCGGCAACAACTTTGGCCTCGTCGTAAATTTCAACCTCAACACGATATCTCTGCCGGGTGGCCTTATGTGGGGTGGCACCAGAACATATCTATCAGACTCGTTTCCGGCAGTCGAAGAGGCCTTCGAGGGCGTGATTGAGGATACGCCCCAGGATCCGGGAGCAGGGCTTTGGCTTCTCTTCGCAGCTGTGGGCGGGATCGAGATTGCAGCCCCCGCCTTGTATCACCTGCAGCCCAATGCTGGGAATGCTACGATCTGGTCCAAGTTCAATGAAATCCCAGCCACGGATGACACGACCCGAACACGCGTATTGGCAGACTGGGCCGAGGAGACCACCACCGGTAGCCCCGGCGGGCTGCGACAGATCTACTACCCCATATCCGTCAAAGCAGACTTGGGTATTCTCCGCTTTGCCCGGGAGCTCTTCTTCGAGACCGTAGTGTCGGTAACGGATGTGTCCGGCATCCTCCCTTTGATTGCAGCTCAGGGCATCACTACCCCGCTGCTGCAACAGATGCGCAAGAACGGCGGCAACGCCCTAGGACTTGACGAAGCTAACGGCCCATTGTATATCATCCACATGGGCGCGACATGGGAGAATATCGAAGATGATTCTACCATATTTCAGTGGATGACGACGGTACTCCGAGGCATAACTGCCGAGGCCAAGGTTCGGGGTTTGCACAGCGACTTCATCTATATGAACTATGCAAACCAATTCCAAGACGTGATTAGCAGCTATGGTGCCGCAAATAAGGACAGGCTCAAGACCATCGCATCAAGATATGATCCAACGCGGGTATTCCAGGACTTGCAGCCAGGGTATTTCAAGCTTGACCATGGCCCTATTCCAAATCCAACTGGTTTCAATAGGTAATCAACAGGGCACTTCTCATTTAATCTCTTCAGAGTATATTTCATCTACACCACCGGCGTCCTTGTCATCATCGGCTCGTACGCGGTTGGCCCTCTCTTTTGACTGTCTCGAGCGCCTTAGGAAATACGAGCATTACCAGAATCTTGAGTGGAAAGCCAACGAGACTCTCCATTTACGGCAATTCTTTCTGCGTAACATCTCCAAATATAGATAATCGATGTTAGAGTGTTTAGCTAAAGGAATCTTCGGTTTAGATATCCACCTCCTGCTGGTGGAGAACGAAAGGATTCCAGAGAGCTCGAAGTTCTCCTTCGAGGAGGACGATATCGGACTCCTCTATTGTCTCTTCCCAAGGATACAAGTAACGCTCCACCCGAACATCGAACCCTTCTCGGACATTCAGACGAAAAAATATAGTCTTCCACTCTTTTACTCGCTCTCGGGCAGCTGCGTAGTTGTGAACCCACTTGGACGACGGCTGCCGAACCGTCAGTACCGTAGATAGGCGGATGGTCAAAAAGCGTAGCTCGGTGACAAGGTCAAGCGCCCCGGAAAGCAAGGGAGTGAGGGTGTCAAACGCATCACCGTGGCACTTCACATGGACAATGATGCCTCGTATACACATCAAGGTCGCTGGGCGTTGCTTTGCGAATAGGAAAGCCACTTCGGCGTCTTCGAACTCCAGAGTGGCATTGTGCCACAAAAGCGCGCCAAGCTCGCGCGTCATCTTCGGGCTCACTTGTGACAGGTTTCGAATGAATCGGTAATCTGATGGTGTTCGATACTCGCACATGCAGTCATCTAGCATATAGGTGTTCTCGTGGACCTCGTCCGAACACTGCGGGTCAGGATGCATGACACGTGCCACTCTCACCTCAACAGGCTGCCACGGATCCGAAGCAACGCTGAAATGGCTGTTTGAACTGTTGCTTTCACTGCCATGAGACCCATCAAGGTCGCTGTCCTGGTCATCAGGCAACTCTAGCAACTGGGTTGCGACCTCCCGGCTGGAGGACCATCCAGAAGGCTCTTGGCCCTCGACGCTGCTCTCGATAGCTTGGTATATAGAAAGCAAATCTACCTGTCGTGGCGGTTCTCCTTGATTGCCGCGCTGGTCGATGTTGCGCGTGCTGGGGCTTCCGGCGACAAAGATTGGGTAGTGTACTTCTGGGTAGTGTGTCCTATAGCGTCCATCCCCGATCTTAAATCGGATTCCCTCTCCGATCGCATCTGGGTGAAGATCGCAATGGCGCCCGGGGTACAACCGGATAAGAAGGATGCGGTAAATATAGTCTCGGATTTTGAGAGGAAGACGAAAAAATGGAAACGCGTTTCCTGGCACTTCATTGTCTTCAGATTGATCTTGCATCGGGTCGAAGGATTGAGCATAGACATATCGTGGCACAGGCTCAAAGTGGTAAGGGAAGAGATCAAAGGAGCCAAACCCAGACGTGTAGTCAACATCCGTCTCGGGATGATATATCCTCAAACTAGAGCTTTCAAACTCCATATTCATGGCTAGGACATCTGACACATACCAAGGTGTTTGGCAGGAAATGTTTTATTAATCAGTCCAGGCCAAAGATCACCTGACAGGGAATCCGCAGGGTTTGTCTCCGCACAGCCTAAGTTTTATAGTTAAGAATAGCGGTGTGAATTTCCAAGGCCCGGTTAGCTCAATCGGTAGAGCGTGAGACTCTTAATCTCAAGGGTAAGTAGCCACTGCAGTCTAGACATCATAGCATATCTAACGAACGGCGCAGTTGCGGGTTCGACCCCCGCATCGGGCTCAATTCCTGATGCACCACCTTCAACAAGTGGTATACGAACTGTTCACCTTCTTTTTTACAGTCCCCCCCATAGGAGTTTTATTTTTTTGGGGGAGGGGTGCGGGTTTTTGGGTTTTACTTTCTGCTGTTGAATACACGTCTTATATAAAATCCTTGGTAGTTGCGATCACAAACTGCTGTGATGTGATGTGCACAGACTAGATACTTCTAGATTTTGCACAACTCTGCACAACTCCTGCTAAGCTAGCCCTGGTCAGGCCCCTGTTAATGGTCCTAGTCTAGTTTGGGTACCTGACAAGGAGGGGACTTCCACACCGTAACGCGACGCAGAATGCCAAATCCTCTGACATCCTAACAGGATATTCACCACTTTTAAGGGTATTAGATCATTTTCATCAGTATTTGTTGATGTCTTATTGTGCTTTGCAATTTAGAGTCGAACAGCGTAGGACCGTGCCATCCTAGCTTCAGCTGTGGTGCGGTGGCAATTAATCAGCGGTGTGTGGGAGAAGGTGTAGCTTGATAAGATTTAACTGCATTGTAGATTATATACTAGCTATCTGGTCATAGGAGCTAATTAGCACAGCCCGGTTAGCTCAATCGGTAGAGCGTGAGACTCTTAATCTCAAGGGTAAGAGATCAAAACACGTTACACCTCAGTACGAGCCCTAATGGATCATGTAGTTGCGGGTTCGACCCCCGCATCGGGCTCAATTCCTGATGCACACATCTAAGATGTGGTTACCTTCGACCTAAATTTTTAGTGGGGGAACTTTAATTTTTTTTGGGGG